AGCCATGTTCCACCTCTGCTGCTGTTTGTCCTCTCCTAAAGGAGGAATACACACCATCCTAGGCTATGGTGATAAGGAAAGAGGTAGGGTCCTCAGAGCTTTTCAGATGCTTTTGAACTACAGCGCCTCTCATCTCTCACCGTTGGCTACATCACAGCTGAGAGAAGTTCCTGTTTTTGGCGGCAAGGGTCAGGATCAACAAACTCTGCCCACCATTATGGAGCTGTATTTTTTTTTAAAAAATAATATTTCCCAGTTGGCCGAGGCTGATGGGACCTGGGGTTCAACCCCATCTGGAAAGTGACACGTGCCCCTATCCCAGCCTGAAGGTACTGAATGCAAAATATTTATGGCGCTACGCAAGCGCTGATCTGAACATCACCCACCGACCTGCTTACGTGGATGCACTCATGAGATCTTCGACACAGAAAGACACACAAAACTCTGCCCCTCATTGGATTGGCCCTTCTTATCCTCAGTTTCTTTACGTGCGCCTGGCAAGAACGTTAAAGCTTGTGGCTCAACCCTTTTGTGCAGACAATCCGAGGTGTATCCTAGCCGGAGCTAATAAACCATTATTCCAACAGTTGACGCAGTAGAAGTTTGCAAACACTCAGAAGGGTCTGATCTGGAGAAAGTGCACAGAAAGCATTGAGAACAAAGTCTGTAGCATTTCAAGGAGGAGCAGATCACACTGTCAACTGACCTTCTAGTGATCCTCTATCTCTTTGATTTCTGGAGCACCCCTCTGTTTCCAGATTCAGCCACTTCTTTGGCTTAAACGTGTGGCTGCTGTTCAAATTGGTGGCTGGGTATCTAATCCTACTCACCTCCCCCCACACAAGATTTTTTGTAGGTTCATCATAGAATTTGCCTGTCAGATGTCATTCTGTTCTGAGTGTCCCCCATTCTGCAGTGAGGTACCAAAAGGGGATGAGAAAAACACACAGACGCTCATAATCAGGAATGTGGGTGAGGTATTCCTATACAGTTGCTTTTGGGGGAACACAGATCTCCAAGTGACCCTATCCCTGAGTGTAGAGTTGTGGCCCGGAAGGAAGGAAGGTAGGAAGGAAGGAAGGAAGGAAGGAACTGATAATGGATGGATGGATGGAAGGAAGGAAGGAGATTTGAACGCAATTAGCAAATAGGACTGGAAACATTTGTACAACTGCTTGTAAAAGACTTTTTCCCATGGTGCTCTTATGCTGGGAAAAGTGAAAAGCAGTGGGAAAGGAGGAAGACCAAACATGAGATGGATTTGCTCAATAAAATAAGCCACAGCCTTCTGTTTGCAAGACCTTAGCAAAGCAGTTAATGATGGGGCTTTTTAAAGGTCACAAATTCATAGGGCTGCCTTACGTCGGAAGTGATTTTACAACACATAACGAGAATGACACATGGCCATTTCTCTTGCATGCCTCCGTGAAAGTGTGTGTATTCCTTGTTTGTGTTTGGTGAGGCTAGACGTGTGGGCCAGGCAGAGATGTCCCATTTAGCTGCCATCTTGTACACTGAGGGGGACAGAATATGGTTCTCCAGACCTTGTGGGATGGCAACTCCCATCAGCCCCAAACAGCCTAGCCAGTGGTAAGGGATCCTGGGACTTGTAGTTCCCATTTAGCTGCCATCTTGTACACTGAGGTGGCTCTCCAGACCTTGTGGGGTGGCAACTCCCATCCGCTCCAAACAGCCTAAAGGATCCTGGGACTTGTAGTCCCCCAAATCTGGATGGCCCTGTTGAGTAGAGATGCACGGAACACATTCTACTGGTGGAAGCAGGTATGTGAGATCAACTCCCAGTTGCCGTTTTCATCGGCCGTTGCATGTTTAGAATGAGAACTTGTTCAGGTTTGCTAGTGGCCACTTGGCTGTTTGCCTGCGGCTAGTAAGACTAGTTTGAAGGCAACCAGGCAGGGGAATTATAAAGAAGCAGCAGTCTTAGGCATCCAAATCACTGCCCCTGTTGGCTGTTTGCCTGCGGCTAGTAAGACTAATTTGAAGGCAGCCAGGCAGGGGAATTATAAAGAAGAAGCAGTCTTAGGCATCCAAATCACTGCCGCTGATAAACAGGAGACAGATTCTATCTAAGGCCTCCACCCCTGTTGAGTGAGGGATTTCCTATATGCATGCTGCCCTTTCATCCCTTGCTAGAAACATCAGGACCACACCCACCCGAAAGACCACTGTTGATGACTGTTAACGAGCTATGATGATCATGGGTGGAGAAGGACTGCAGAGGTGGGATTATCCCTCACCCCCAGCCCTTTGTCCTTCTAAGGAGCCTATTCAGACCAGGGGGAAAGTGAAACCAACGTGGAGGTTATATCAGGGGGGTCTCCTACCGACTCTCCTCAGTCTGAAGAAGCTCCTTGGATGAGTAGAGAAACCTTTCAACCTAACAAGAGAGAAGTCCAGTTGCCATGACTCAGCTTCCAGATACCCTCACCTGGAGGACTGAGAATCTTCACAGATTATATTGCTAATGTTCCTCAGTTTTCTTAAAGATCTCATTTTTGGCTTTCATAAGAACATCAGAGGAGCCCTGCTGGATCAGGCCAAGGGCCCCTCTAGTCCAGCTCCCTGTCTCTCACTGTGGTCCCACCAGATGCCTCTGGGAGCACACAGGATCATGAGAGACCTGTCTCCTGATCTCCCCTCCCCTCTATCTGGCATTTTGGGTTACCTTCCTTCTAAGCCTGGAGATGATACATCCCCAATCATGGCTTGTCACCTGCGATGGGACTTTTCCTCGAGGAATCTGTCCAATCCCCTTTTCAAGGCATCTAGGCCAGAGGCCATCCCCACATCCTGTGGCAAGGAGTTCCACAGGCTAACCACACGCTGGGTCAAGAAATCTTTTCCTTGGTCTCCCAACCCTCCATTGGAGTGGATGTCCCCTGGTTCTCTGAGGGGCTTCCTCTGTGGGCGCCACACATTTAGACCTCACTGGTTGTTCGTAGATGGCAAACCCCGGTTCTGTGCTAAATGTCTTTCAGGTCAGGAAACATTTCAAGGGTCAACACGTGCAAAGGAGTGTTAATGGCTCCCATTAATACAGACGTGACTCTATAACACATGAGACCCAGGAATGGGTTTTCTGCATTCAAGGTATACCTAAGAAAGGTGTCTGATCTTCACAAACAGCCAGTCTCTGAGGAAGGGCAAGTTCCCACCTTTTTTGCTCAGCCTCTGCACTTCCAAGATAGACTGCCTCCATCCGTGGAGGTTCCACTTTCCTGACAGAGATAAGCGGAGCTCAGAAAAGCGCAGTGTAGCACACGGAGTGTAAGACTAGCTCTCAGAAGATGTATTCTAGAAGTAAAATTTCTTGTGTGAGACGTGTCTGTTCCCTTTTAATCCGCACCACAACCCTGTGAGGAGGGTCATGCTGAGAAGTGACTGACTGTGAGTTCTATAATTTACTAGATACAGTAGGACTCCCTATCAGCGAGATTGGTATCCACTGGTTCGTTTGTCCACGGCCTTAAAATACAGTACTAAATAAAAAACCCGTCAGAAATACGTATTTCTACGTATTTCCAGGTCGTATTTACCAGAACTGCCCACTAGAGAGAGCCAGAGACCATGCATTTTATACTGTTTGATACTTCCACGGAGGGGGGAGTGGGCTTGGAATACAGTCCGACTGCATTAGAACCCAGGCCCCACTCGGCCTATACAAAACTGTAACCACTAGACTACTTTTGCATAACCTTCCTAACTAAGAATTCTGTGGCATCCTAAAGACTATCCAGTTCATCATGCCATAAGCCTGTATGGACCCCCATCTACTCCATCCAGTTACATGAAGCATTGTTCACAATTCCAGGCACACCGTGAAACACACACATGATGATTTCAGAGGAAAATTAAATGCACAAGCATTGAAATGGCAAAGGGGGGGGGATATCCGTTCTGGCAATTCACAGGAGCCATGGCTGCGCGTCTTATGGAAAGGTGCGTCTTATTGAAATGGCAAAGGGGGGGGGGAATATCCGTTCTGGCAATTCACAGGAGCCATGGCTGCTGATAACGATCCGGACCGCCTGGCACCACATCAGCTGACCCTTCCCCCTGTGGATAGAATCCTTCTGGCAATTTACCTTTGTGTAAAAGAAGCCACGCACCACCACCCTTTCATCATCAACATGTTAGAATTGCAGAGCTGGAAGGGACCCGATGGATCATCCAGTCCAGCCCCTGTCCAGGAGGCCCTGTGGGGGGATTTGAACTCTTAACCTCTGGCTCCCCAGCCTGGTGCCTAAACCACAAAGCTCTCCAGCAGTTCTTAACATGATTTCCTCTATATGCGAACACAGACTGCTGACGCAGGGACTTTGGCTGTAATCGCTCCAGCACAACCCTGCTTTCACGGGGATCATGGGACATGAAGTCCGTAACCCTCACCTTGTCCAAGTTGTTGAGTCCACTGACATTTGTCATGCGATCAGAAACCTTCACCCAGATTCCCAAACCGCTGGGGAGAAGATTAGCTCACGTTTGTCATTCACCGTCCGGCAGACTTTGTGAGATGAATGTCTCGGGTTTTTAAAAAAGAGAAACCAAACTCAACCCAAACCTACACAAACAACGCACCCACATCTGGAGGTGTTGCATTTCCTTTCTTGCCACACCACCTTGGCAGACGCTCAACCGTGCGCGGCTCTACCCCTTCTCCGTTCCAGCGCCCGGGCCAGCTCTGGCACCACAGCAGGCTGTGGCATGTCTCCGACCATCAAACGCCTTAACCCTGCTAAGACTCGACGGGAACCGCATTTTGAACCCGAGACGGGCACATCTGGAACATGGATTTTGGAAAATGGTGGGTGGGTGGTGGTGTTTTTCTTTGGCAACATGTGTGGACAAGGGCTGACATTCTGAGGACGTCTGTCAGGGCGAGAGGAGAAGGTGCAAACGTCCACACGCCAAAGGTTTATGGAATATCCATGGAGCGCTGCATGCCTCAATCAAAACTGGTTTTTTAAAATTCCTTTTAGTCTTTTTGAGGCACTGGAAAAGTGCAGAGCATAAGTCAGTCCAGAGAGGAGCTAATCTCGGTCGAATCTCTTGGCTCACCCACTCTCTCCCCTCCTCTGGTGACTTAACTTTTTTCTCTTGGCGTCTCCTCTCAGTCGGCCTGGATGCCGCCGCACGGCGCACATGTGCGTGTGAGTTCCTCCTGCGGGAAATCCTGTCACAGCCAACACCGGCCGGGAGCATCTCCGAAACGGAAAACCAGAGGGCCGAGGTGAAACCACCAGCCATCCTTGGGGCCACCACGCTAGGTGGGTATGGGGAGAAAAATCAGCTGTGAGAATGCAGGGGGAGGCTGAGAGAGGAAATCTAAACAGATGTTTCTCCTATTTTTTTTTTAAAAAGGGAATCTGTCAGAATTCGTGGAATTGTTCTGGGTACCTCTTATTGCAATGGGTTAAAGCAACATCTGTTGCTCCTTTTCTTCTCTCAATGTTTCATAAATGGAAAATTAAGTATCTGGGCATAATCGAACCGGAACGAAGCAATCACCCCTCCTCATCTTGGAACTGGAAGGGATCGAACGAAGCAATCTAGAAAGCTGTTTACTTCCTGGGTGGGACAGGCGGACACAAAATTAGGGGTGCCATTTTGGTATGCTGACCCCAAATGCATTGAACTGAGATGGGCTTGCTTGTGAGTAAACCTGCTTAGCCTTGCACTGTATGGCACTCCTTTAGAAGCAGACAGGATGATAATGGATTTATAATAAGAAGAATCTTAGAATTGCAGAGCAGGAAGGGATGCTGAGGAATCAAACTCCCAACCTCTGAAGCAACGCTTCAGTCCTAGTCATGTTCTTAGAGCAATGCAGTGCAGTGGTTAGAGCACTGAACAGGGTTTTAAGAAACACACGTTCCAATCCTCCCCGTGTCAAGTGAATTCCTCGCCACAGAAGCTCACAATGAAGTTGATCTATGTGCTAGTTTTTAAGGTGCCACAAAAGTGTTTTCTTCTGTTATGTACGCCAGCGAAGGCCGATGGGGATCCCTCACGGAAGACATGAAAGTCACTGGGTGACGTTAGGCTATTAGGCTCTGTCTCTCGGCACGATCTACCTCACAGGGATGTTGTAAGGGTAAAGTAGCAGAGAGGCTGCCTTCAGTTCATGGGAGAGATGGCCAGCTATAAATGAAGAGAACATATGTTTGTGAAATGGGACTTGAATGTAGAGGGATTTGCCTCTGAGTTTATACACAACATCAGATGGCTTGTTGGTAAAGTGTGAAGGCAGGAGGAGAAGGGGACGACAGAGGATGAGATGGTTGGACAGGGTCATCGAAGCGACCAACATGACTTTGACCCAACTCTGGGAGGCTGTGGAAGACAGGAGGGCCTGGCGTGCTCTGGTCCATGGGGTCACGAAGAGTCGGACACAATTTAACGACTAAACAACAACAAGGAAAGGTGACAAGATTTCATACTGTGCTTTAAAAAAAATCTGTGTGATGGAGAAAGGGTTAAGGTTTAATTGGTTGGCACTATATTAGGGTTCCACAGCTTAAGCAGTTCAACCATGCTTTATATTATAATTTTATTTATTCCTTTATTTAATGTCAATCCCACCTTTCATCATAAGTCCAGAGTGGTGAGTAGTTCACATAAAAATTTAGCTAAAACCACAAGTTGTGAGATCTAGTATCTTAAATTTAAAATAGTAAAGAACATATCCTTAAGACTGTAAATATCAGAAATGGATATTACATTCAGGTGCAAAAAAAAATGCAACAGAAAGAGCATGAATGAACAGCCGCTGAAGAGCCCTTGAACACTTCCAGGCTGTCCCACGCATTGCAATCGTAGGAAGCTTGGATTTATGAAGGGTAGAATCATAGAATCGTGGTAGGGTCAGAAGGGACCCTGGAGGTCATCTAGTCCAACCCGTTGCCCAAGGCAAGTGGCCTCATCCCATCCCGGACAGGTGGCTGCTCCATCTTTTCTTGAAACCCTCCAGCGATGGGGCACCCACCACCTCGGGAGGTGAGCTGTTCCACTGCTTGAAGGTTCTCACCGTCAGGAAATTCCTCCTTACTTCCAGGTTGGATCTCCCTCTGATGTGTTTGCACCCGTTGGTTCTTGTCCTACCTTCAGGCGCCATGGAGAAGAAATTGATGCCCTCTTCCCAGCCTTCAGATCTTGGAAGATGGCTATCCTGTCTCCCCTCCGTCTTCTCTTCATTAAGCTAAACATACCTAGTTCTTTTAGTCGTTCTTCATAGGATTTAGCCTCCAGTCCCCTTAGGGATGCCCTCAAAGAAAGGGCAGAAGCCAGGGCTGGTTTCTTCACAAATGACCCTATACATAATCTGTGCAACTGAAACAAAGCTTGGAAGTAGTTAGTTACCATAAAGTAGTTGCCTATAACTAGTTATTTTTGGTTAACCAACAATGTAACTAGTGATAAAAAATACACTTTCCAGGTGTGACAAGCCACAGAAGATATTTGCAAAAGTTACTCTTCAAGACCTTTTTAAAAGGTGCTTTAACAGAAATCCTTCAGGCTTTATTTTTACTTTTTATATTTATTTTGTTTTCTATACCGCTTGCTCAGGTTGATGGCATTCTTGGCATCCTAAAGTGATAAGAGAATTATTCTTTTGTTATGTCATTTGAAAACTGGCTGGGCAGCTCAGTGGTTTCCGGATCTGGCTGTGGAGCCAGAGGGTTGGGAGTTTGATTCCCCATTGCGCATCTCTAGAGAGAAGAGCCAGCCTGGGTAGCCTTGGGCCAGCTGCACACAGTCCCGGGGCCACCCCAGAGGAAGGAGGGAATGGAAAACCACTTTTATACATTCTCTGTACCTGGAAAACCCTGGAAAGGATCACCATAATTCAGAATGGATTATCATATTATTGCGTCATTTGTATTTTTATATTTCCAAGGGCAATATCAGAAGTGGCCACTAGAGGGAACCTGATAACATTTCCCTACATTTTCCAGGCCAGTTAGAAAAGACAATGTGATATATTGATTATACTTGCACGATTGGATCCATGAGGATGATGATGGCAACTGCAGTGCTGGGAAGCCACAAATAATGTGAGGAGTTCCTTTTAAAATGTACCCGTTTGTTCTGGCACTTAACCTGTTTTAGGCATATACCTAAACTATACAACGGCAAGGTTCTTATTGGCAATTTACACTCGTGCAGCTGAAGTTCTGAAAGTTGTCGTGGTGAATTGTGACGAATTAATGAGAGGCCAGTCACATTCCCAAGGGCATGCCTCTTGTACAACCAGGCATGGGGCCAGGAATCATGTGCTATATAAGTGTCTTCCCTTATTCTGTCCCAAATGGAACATGGAGTTGTGGATTTTAGATGCTTTGTGGGTTAATTTTTGTAAATAAATGTTTGTTTGCTTTGGTGAAACTTTACAATGTCCTTTTAACTTGGACAGCAACCAGAGAATTTATCAGTTTTAGGGTCTTTTTAAAATACTGTATAGATACGGTAGCTCAGTGGTTAAGGCATCCAGCTATGGAGCCAGAAGTTGGGAGTTCAATTCCCCACAGGGCCTCTTTCTTAGAGTAGCGTCCCTTCCAGCTCAGCAGTTCCAAGATTATGAGGAGTATAATCTCAACGTTATGCGTGCAATTTGCTCAGCGGCTTACTGAGGTGTGGCCATCAAGATCCCCACCTTTCTCCCATTCTTGACCAAGTCACCCTGCGTTTTGTTGTCCTGTGGGTTACCACAACTATTTCCTGTTTAGAGCATGGAATCAGGAGCTGTGGGATTTGCTAGAATCTTGGCGATGCTCACCACAACATTATGGTCTTGACACATTTATGTGCTGAAAGCCGTTAAGCTGGTGCATTTATTCATTATTTGTTGTGTTAAGGCTTGGCTGTAGACGTAGGCCGCTGAGGCAGTCCCTTCCCTCAGAAATTGTCAGCTTCAGCACTATGATTTCTTTACTGGGCCATCAAGTTGCTTCCACCTTATGGCAATCTTGTGAATGAGTGACCTCCGAAAGGTCTCTTGTCATTAACAGCCTGGCTCAGTTCTTGCAGGTTCAAAGTTATGGCTCCCTTGACTGAGTCAATCCAACTTCCGTTGGGTCTTCCTCTTTGGCTGACGTTCCCCAAGCTCTGTTGCCCTTTTTTTCCATGTGTCTTGTCTTCTCGGGCTCTTGTTCGAACCACCCGTTGGGTTGAAAAAGTGTCAGAACCGACATGGGCTTGTGGTCGCACGGGGGGGGGGGCTTAGCAGATCCAACTTCCGTTCCTTAACAGAACCACAAGACTGACAGAGTGACTTTTGGCTTGTCTCTTTCTCTCAGCTTCAGCTATCCCATAGGGTTGTTCTGAGGAAAACGTGAGCCATGTACGGTGTCTTGAACTCAGTACGGGAAAGGGACCAAAGTGTGAGAAAAGAGTGGAAAATTGGCAACAGGCCCCAAATTATGCACATTCAGTGTTACATGAGAGCACAGTTTCTGCGTGTAGATTCCCACTGGACATGTGCAATAAAAGCCACAAAAATTCGTCCACTGAAGCAGAAACAGAGGGAGAAGGCCATGCTATGTTAGTGCTGGAGACCTTGATTCTGCAGTTTTTCCTGCTGGAGAAATCAGACTTCAGAAGAATCCTATGCTTAATTCTTGAAGACCCGTCGCCAAACAGCTCATTTAGAAACCACAGGAGGGGAGGAAAGCTCCTGCTCTGCATTCAGATGCTTTCAGCGGTTAAGGAATTCCTAATCACAAGTTATCTATAATGTCTGTTTCTACTCAACAGAAAGCAGAGAATGTAAAATTAATCCTATGGAATAAGGTCAAACGGTTGTCTGTTCCAGCATCACTGTGTCTTGTTTTACGTAGAAAGCCCCACAAAGCTCAGAGAACCAAAGTATTTGTGTCTTATTCCATGTAGCCATGGTGTATCAACTCTCTGTAATCTCTGGGACTTTCATCAGGGAAATTTACAGTGGACCCTCTACTTACGGAATTGATCCGTATTGGAATGGTGGCTGCAAGTCGAAAAGTCTGTAGGTCGAATCTCCATTGACCTACAATGCACTGAAAACCAATTAATCCCATAACCAGTGGTTTTTATTCTATTTTTATTCCATTTTGGTTTTTTTCTGGTCTGTAGTTGATTCTCCGGCTGCAAGTCGAATCTAAATTTTGTGGCCAGAGAAGTCTGTAACTCGAAAAGTCTGTAAGTCGAGCCGTCTGTAAGTCGAGGGTCCATTGTATTTGAAGATGTTCTCTCTTTGAACGCTTGCCCACTCAAAGCCTGGTTGAAATATGTTTTGTTGTTTAGTCGTTAAGTCATGTCCGACTCTTTGTGACCCCATGGACCAGAGCATGCCAGGCCCTCCTGTCTTCCACTGCCTCCCAGAGTTGGGTCAAATTCATGTTGGTAGCTTGAATGACCCTGTCCATCTATCTCATCCTCTGTTGTCCCCTTCTCCTCTTGCCTTCACACTTTCCCAACATCAGGGGCTTTTCCAGGGAGTCTTCTATTCTCATGAGCCTCAGCTTCAGGATCTGTCCTTCCAGGGAGCACTCAGGGTTGATTTCCTTCCAAATGGATAGGTTTGTTCTCCTTGCAGTCCAGGGGACTCTCAAGAGTCTCCTCCAGCACCACAATTCAGAAGCATCCATTCTTCAGCGGTCAGCCTTCTTTATGGTCCAGCTCTCACTTCCATACATCACTACAGGAAAAACCATAGCTTCGACCATTCGGACTTTTGTTGGCAAGGGGATGTCTCTGCTTTTTAAGATATTGTCGAGGTTTGTCATTGCTTTCCTCCCAAGAAGCAGGCGTCTTTTAATTTCGTGGCTGCTGTTTCCATCTGCAGTGATAATGGAGCCCAAGAAAGTAAAATCTGTCACTGCCTCCATATCTTCCCCTTCTATTTGCCAGGAGGTGATGGGACCAGTGGCCATGATCTTAGTTTTTTTGATGTTGAGTTTCAGCCCGTTTTTTGCACTCTCCTCTTTCACCCTTATTAAGAGGTTCTTTAATTCCTCCTCACTGAAAGATAATGAATCCTACAAAGGGGAGAGCAGAGGGCTTGAAACTCCACAGGTGCATGGTTCAAAGTCATGGGCCACCATTTTCCCTATTAGGGTAAGATGGTAAGATACTTTCATATAAATGTACAGAAATTATTTCTGAATCTACATTTCTGCAAATAAATCAGCACTTACATGTTTTATGCAAAAACAGGTTCCTTTTTTGTAGTCTTTTTCAGGGAAATTTTTTTCTTGGGAGAGTGTGTTAAGTGACTACTCACATTCATAGAGAAATAATTATAGAGGAATGATTAATAAATCAATTACAATCCTACCTTTTCACCCCCCAAAAAAGTCAACAAAAAATTGGCAGCCAAGAAGGCTAACGATTAAAACAACAACACCCTCATATGAAAGCAGATACCATGAAGCATAAAAGCAGATTTGAAACACAGTTTCAAACACCCTTTAAAAAGGAAGAAAAAGATGGAAGAACAGCACTAGAGGGGGGGAAAAATCCAATTTATAGGTCAAAGGTTATTGTACTTTTTTAAAAACGATTTTTGTTTCTTATGAATGCATCGCCTTCTCTTGCTGGGCAGTCCAGTTCTGCGGGAATTTGAAAATCTCCAAAAACCTACCAAACCTGTTTTGACCAGATAGAATAGTGAGACGGGCGCTTAGGAATGAATGTGTGTACTCTTCAGCCAGGAGAAGTCCGGTGAGGTACCACTCATAGCATCAGCCTGCCAACTTTATCTTCTGTCTCTTGTCTTTACAACATGAAATCAAAGTCTTTGAGGCTTCTTGGTATCTGCTGTTGCACTCCGTTGAAAATGTACTTAAGAGATAGCGAAACTCTAAAGTAAACACTCAGACAGAATGATGTCTGCTGAGTCAAGCCATAAAGCTTGACCAGGGGAAAACCAACCATTCCCCGCCAGCATAACCAACTCATCGAGAGCGTATCTTTTAGCATTTGAGTGCCTTTCTCTCTCTCCTCGAAACCAGCTACTCACTGGCCATTCTGGATGGGAGTTTCTGGGAGATAACAGTACATGTGTGCGTATATAAAACTAGGAGTGACGTCCCAGGCTATGGCCAATAGGGTCCAGTCAAAACTTCTTTCTTGTCTGAAACTGACCCCCTGTGAAGCCCAGCTCAGACTTCTTGTTCCTTCACCACCCTGGCCTCCTGGTTCCACTATCATCATACCATCTATCTTTCATTCCATCATTGGATTTAGAGTTCCATTCTCAGGTTCCACTCAAGAAGGAGGCCTTTGAAGATCTGAAAGTTTATGGCTTAGGAAGAAGAGAGACCCCAAACCTTAGGTTTCTTATCTTATCTAAGAAGAGCTCTGTTCTCTGGCATAGGAGCTGAGAGGCTGATACATGTCTTCTTTCTTTTCCGCAATCAGTTGCAAACCTGTTTTAGAAACTAGAAGTAGGTGACATCACATGCAAAAGCCAGTAGGGCCCAGTCAGTCTGATATGGCAAAACTGTGGAATACCCACTGCCCTAAATGCAAGGATTTCTTCTTCTTCTAGTGGAGTGCAGTAGCCCTAGTGTAGTTTGTTACCTTGGAGAGAAATAACTGTTCAGGAGGACAGTAACAAAGCAAAAAGGGGGAAATGTCCTATAGTAGGAAATTCATTTTGGATAATGTGGAAGGAAAGACTTCTAAAGCATCTTATATAAATCTTTAGAGCTGGCTTCCATATCTGCAGCTCTGCCTCTCTAACTAAAAGGAGGAGAAATAAAAACAAGGAAGTGGTCTCAAAGACAAAGGGAGGAAGAATGCCTAAGAATACCAATCTATGTTTAAATCTAGAAAAGACAAGAGGGGAATGCGCGCGCACACACACAGAGAGACAAAGAGAGAGGGAACACACACACACGCACACACACACAGAGAGAGAGAGAGAGAGAGAGAGAAGCGCTATCCATTTCTCTGTTGTCCCCATAAGTGGTTTAGATCAATTGCTGCATGAGTTGACCCTTTGTTCCAATATTAAGTGGACATTTATTGCCATCATAAGAGGTCCTGACCTATTTTTGTCTCTTATACTTATACTGACAATCATTGGCCGGAATCCTACTAGTGTTCACACAAGGGTTTAATAACTGTTAAGATCTAATCCTGGGGCACATTGCCCCTGTATGCTTAGGTCAGTGGTTCCCAACCTTGGGTCCTCAGATGTTCTTGGACTGCAACTCCCAAAAGGCTTCACCACCAGCTTTGCTGGCAAGGGGTTCTGGGAGTTGCAGTCCAAGAACATCTGGGGGTCCCATGGTTTGGAACCACTGGTTAGGTCCAGGACCATCCTAAGACCTTTCAGTTCATTTCCATTAGCCAGTTATGCAAACCTTACGTCGGCACCAGTAGGATTCTGGCCTCTGCTTCTAAAGACACACTGTCTCCATGGATTGATTGGCTTTCTTCCTAATAACACTTCCTTTCTTTTTATTCTGCAGAGCCATGAAATTCCACCACTTCCTTCTCCTGGCAGTGCTGAATGGAGGCCTCGCAACCTATCGGCCCATAGAAGTGCTGCCTTGTGAAATGGTAAGAGCCTGCACAATATGATTCATAAAACCTGGACTGCATCTACCCCACAACAGATTAATCTGGCCCTCTTAAGAGGATCAACAAGAGCCTGCACAATATGATTCATAAAACCATCACCTGAACTAGGTGATGGTTTAATCTGGCCCTCTTAAGAGGATCAATTGGAAGGTCTTAGGACCAAAAATTGCCCTAAGAAAATATCTTGTTGTTGCTGTTCAGTCGTTAAGTCGTGTCCGACTCTTCGTGACCCCACGGACCATAGCACGCCAGGCCCTCCTGTATTCCACTGCCTCCCGGCGTTGGGTCAAATTCATCTTGGTTGCTTTGGTGACACTGTCCAGCCTCCTCTTAAGAGGATCAATTGGAAGGTCTTAGGACCAAAAATTGCCCTAAGAAAATATCTTGTTGTTGCTGTTCAGTCGTTAAGTCGTGTCCGACTCTTCGTGACCCCACGGACCATAGCACGCCAGGCCCTCCTGTATTCCACTGCCTCCCGGCGTTGGGTCAAATTCATCTTGGTTGCTTTGGTGACACTGTCCAGCCTTCTTGTCCTCACTGCCTCCTGGCGTTGGGTCAAATTCATCTTAGTTGCTTCGGTGACACTGTCCAGCCTTCTTGTCCTCTGTCGTCCCCTTCTCCTCTTGCCTTCACACTTTTCTTTTCCAGGGAGTCTTCTCTTCTCATGAAATGGCCAAAGTATTGGAGCCTCAGCTTCAGGATCTGTCCTTCCAGTGAGACCTCAGGGTTGATTTCCTTCAGAATGGATAGGTTTGTTCTCCTTGCAGTCCAGGGGACTCTCAAGAGTCTCCTCCAGCACCACAATTCAAAAGCATCCATTCTTTGGTGGTCAGCCTTCTTTATGGTCCAAGCTCTCACTTCTATGCATCGCGACTGGAAAAAGCATAGCTTTGACTATGCGGACCTTTCTCAGCAAGGTGATGTCTCTGCTTTTGTGATAGCAAACACTAGAAAACATATAGTGTTTGCTATCATAAGCCAAGCATCCCAGATGGAGAACTAAGCTATTGCTCACCATCAGATGTAAGATAAGGCAAAAACCAGATTCAGTTTTCCAAGGGAGTGCTGTGGCAGATGGTTTCAGCACAACCACCACCTAAAACTCTTGTTCCACCTTTTAAGGCTAACAAAATGGTCCCAGAATGAAGTTTCTTGCATTGTAAGTCCTCAGAAGCATGGAGCACAAGACTCTCAAGATGTAGATTCTGTGTAGATCCATAAGTTCAAACTGAGATAAATCTGTTCATGCCAGTAGCCTCTGTTTTGTTAAGATCGCACACAAGAAATCCAGCAGACCCCATCTTTGCTTAAAAGAAGCAGCCTCCGGAGGAAATTTTTGGAACAGAACAGATGAGGTGGGCTTTAACTTTTCCATTCCCCTGTCTCTCCATTTCCCTCTCATTTTTCTTATCAGCTCCAGAGATTCCACATATGTCAAGAATCAGCTATAACATTTCCTTTAAAGCCAAATTACACTAGATATTTTCCATGGCTAAAAAAAACAGAGTGTGCTTAAAGAGAAAGCAGCTGCAGGGCCCTAATTTACTATATGTTTCCCATCCAAGAACTAAGATCCTGAACTAACCAGATCTCGGTTGAATATCAGGGAAAACTTTCTAACTGTTAGAGCAGTACGACAATGTGTGGCCTCGATGGTCTTATAGGCCCCTTCTATCTTCCCTATTCTATGATTCTATGTTCCTAATTCCTAGGGGAAAGAATGCACCTCCTTATTTATTCCTAATATCAGGGGAGGGGGAAGGGATAAGAGCCAGAAAAGAAGTTTCATCCTAAAAATGGCATTTGGAGGGTCCAGTCTGAATGAGGATCACCTGTTCTAGACCCACACCCCCTTCCCAGCTGTACTAATGGAAGTCAACGGTGAAAGCACATTTAAAAAGAGATTACCCTGTATATTTTGGGTCTTAATATTATAACTATCTATATCCCAAATTGGATGGGGTAAAAGGGGGATAGGCAGAAGGGAGACTGTGGTCCTAGGAATGGGATTTTCATATTTCTTGGACCATACAGCCTATTATTCTCCATTCTGAAAGTTGCATTTGACCGGAAAGACATCTGACATCATCTAGATGTGGATCACCCAGGATAGAAGTCTTGAATGATCAGCTCTGAGGCTGAGCTAAGCCTAGCTGCACCTTGGTTCCTGTTCAAAAAGAAGTTGCTAGTTAGCCCTGGAGTAACCACCGATCTCAAGGTCTAAACTTTGAGGCTTCCCCCCCCCCAAGTGAGTCACATTGAGTTTTCTGTGAGGTATCTCCCAAAATGGAGAATTACGGGATTTGTAGACTGAGAAATCTGAAAATATCACATGATTTCTAGTTAAGTACTGAACAAAAATAGTGACTGCAGAAGAAGCGCACAACTTTAACGCTGACAACGAAGAAACGGAAATATTTAAGAGATGTTGTATACCTTGGTTCAATTGTCAATCTAAATGGAGATTGCAGCCAAGAAATCAGAAGAAGACTCGGAAGGGCCTCAATGAAGGAACTAGAGAAGATTGTCCAGTGTAAGGATATGTCAATGGGGACCAAGGCCAAGATCATCCACAGTCCTGTATTTCTGATCACCTTGTATGGGTGTGAAAGCTGGATAGTTAAGAAAGCTGACAAGAAAAAAATTTGATTCATTTGAAATGTGCTGCTGGAGGAGAGCTTTGCAAATAGCCCAGTTTGCCAGAAAGACAAATAAGGGGGTCCTGGATCAAATCAAGCCTGTGGAGGCAAAAATGTCAAAACTAAAGATGTCCTAGTTTGGGCATATCCTGAGAAGGCAGACTCAAGAATGCTGGGGAAGGCAAAAGACCAAAGGAGAAAGACCAAATATGAGATGGACCCAGCTCCCTAAAGGAAGCTGCAGGCTTGGGTTTACGAAACATGAGCAGGGCTGTTGAGGATGGGACATTTTGGAGATCCATCCATCCATCCATCCATCCATCCATCCATCCATCCATCCATCCATCCATCCATCCATCTTCAGCTCCTTCCTTCCTTCCTTCCTTCCTTCCTTCCTTCCTTCCTTCCTT